CTGTCTCTGCCCGAAACAAACTGGGCCACAGCTAGCCTGAGTTTTCTAGAGCAGTAAAAGACACTCTGCAGTGGCAAACAGGTTACAGGAAGAATTCATTCCAGTTTGGTAATGTTGTCTTCAGAAAAAACAGAAACGTGAAAGTTTCTTCTCCTGCCAGCCACATCTTCACTCAGCTCTGGTACAACACTGGGCTATTCCCCGGGGACCTATTTTTTTAAAACCTCTCTCTCCAGCAAAATGATTTCTGCACCAGGGCGATTACGTGACTTATTCAAAGTTCCCCCCGCGGTCAAGCCTTCCGAGCCACGCAAGCTATATACTGGCAGTGTGCTCTGTAAAAACCTCTAATCCTAGGAGACAGAAAATAACATGACATTAAAAGATATTAATACGTAAAAAATGACAAGTGTATTAGCCAAATGGTTGTGTGGTGCCTAGCCATTAAATTAAACTTAATAACCCTTCCATTGTGGTCATGGGAAATAAAAGAGATGGATGGCTTCCTCAAGCTCCTGTGGATCACGGAGTTCCCTTTCCTAAGACGTTCTGTTGTCAGAGGAGACAGGGTGAGTCTTGCCAGGCTCTGCAAGGAGACACTGCTGGGAGATTGGTGAGGAGGAGCAGTGGGACTGGGAAGCACAGGGATGGGTAGAAGGGAGGCTAATGCTGCTCTCTGCAGGTCGGCTCTCCGGTCATGCTTTGAAGGACAGCACAGCTCTCTTCTGTCCTAGACTAACAGGACAGAATCCAGACTAACAGGACTGAAGAATCCAGATGCCTGCGAAAGCCTCATCCCAAGGGTCTGCTGGTGCCTCCGGGGCTCTGCCCCAAAGGGCAGTCTAGTTTGCACTTCTGCCAACAGTGGAAAGCCCAAATCCCAGCCACTCGGTATGGAACTGTTCAGTTTTCACTTTACACCCCAAAGCAGGAATCTCACAGAGAGACTCACATGTCCCAGGTCCTCACAACTGTGCGTGCGAACGGACGGAGCTTGGAGGTCAGGCCTGGGACTAATCCACTGGTGCTCAACTAGTTCCTGAGCAGAGGACCAACTCTTTGGGGGGTAAAATCCGTGCCAAGAACAGCATGCCTTGGCTGGATTCTTTCCTGCACCAAATTCTTCTCCTTAAAAACAGCTTTCTTCCCCTTAAAAGGAGACAATGGCTTAATTTAAACCTAATGAGAACGGGCAGACCAGCATGGTGACTTTCCTGCTCACTCTCTTCCAAGTTGCTTTGCAAGAGATTTGGGACCAGACCAAAATGCTGCCAGGCGGCCGCGCTGCAGAGCTGTGCGCATGCCTGCTCCGCGGCAAGGATGAGGTCACGCCATTTAGGCATCATTTCACAGAATCACAGAATTCCACAGAATTTGGCGAGCAATGTTTCAGCAGCTTTGATGGGCTGAGCAATGACATCCCCCAACCCGCTCCTCCTACGCTGTGCCAGCCCACGTGCTTGAGCTGCTGTGATAGGAGACAGAAAGGGGAACTAATCCAGCTGGAGAAGAACTTCTCCCTCCTCTTTCCCCCCTCCTCCCTCCTCAGTCTGATTCACATCACAAAAGCCTCGGTCAGACCTGGGCAAAGACAGTAGGGCAGGGGTGGAAGAACCAACAGGGACAGACAGGAGCAGACTAACTGGGCTGATAGAAGAAGTTCTGCTGCCCAAAAGTCAAACCACAACTTCAGCATGGCAGACAGAAGATCTGAATCACTGCAGAGGAAGAGATCCCACTCTGGGTCTCTCTGCAGTAAGTATTCCGCCCTGGACTACTCCCTGGACAACTTTGCATCTTCCTAGACTTTGCTTCCAGCCGATTTCAGAGTCCGTCCTCTGTGATCCTGCGTATCGGGGAGGCACCGTGCCCATCAGACGTGCCTGCCTTCTTGCTGGCTCGCTGCTGGGGAAATGAAGTGCAAACCTCAAGGACTGCAAGACGTGAAGCGTTGAGTAATGGAATTTCCCTGCTGCCGGACTTGTAGTTTTCCTCCATCTGTTAGTACCATCAGGAAGCGAGATTGGAGACTCCTCACGCCACTGATCCGGCAGGTTACCCCCCTTGCATGTTTACTGTGTTACCATAAAAGACATTTATAACACGGAGGACAACGGCTGAGGGCTGCACGCAGCACACACGTGCTTCTTCTCACCGCTGCTGGGGCCAAGTCCTTCCCTGCTGTCATTTCCTTTCTCCAGAGACATGGTGTATGCGAGATCAGCAAGTCCCTGAGGTCTTCCTGAGCGCAAGATGAACCAGAGCAAAACAAACTAGTAAACACCTAACGCTGTTTTGCTCGTCACACTACAACCTTCTGTGCATATCTCAGGAGGCTCTGTGTGAGCTCGATCTCTCAGAAGTGCCTGGGGTATTAGCTCCTTCAGGAATTAGCTCTTTCAAATTAAGGCAGAGAGAAGAAAAGCCTATCCAAGGGCAAAAAGTGATCACTAATGCAACAATCTTAGGATCCCTGGACGTGGTAGATACCCAAACCTACCTACTGGCTACTTACCAGCTTCCCTCTCATTTCCACAAGAATGTCCATTGCAGGAAACACTTTCCTTAAAGTATTTGTTTCTAGGCCATGTTTCCATTTGCCATTTTTTTGAAATAATAATAAAAAAAATCCTAGTTCTTTCCAGCAAGTGCTGCTATTCTGGATGCTTCTAGGAGGACAGAGACCTCTAGCAGTGCCACGGCCATGTTAGAATCATAGAATGATTATGGTTAGAAAAGACTTTAATCAAGTCCAACCGCAAAATCATCACCACTATGTCTGCTAAACCATGTCCCATGCGTTGGCAGCAGAGGCAGGACACAAGGGATATCTGTCTCCTTCTCTGACTGGCAGCTGCACCAAACTACCATTCACCAAATGGAAGCAGAGACTGTCCCCATGGAGTAAGGTCTATGCTGGTGGCAGAACAAGGGAGCTTCTTCTCGCCCATGCCTATAAATGAGTGACAGCTCTAAACACAACAGAGGAGGTATCCAGCGAGCAGGAATAAACAGGAAGCTCGTTCCAGCATTGCATCCACAGCAGGATCAATGTGCTGTTTGCCCAAAAGATGACTCTACCTGCACAGTGCACTCGCATCCAGGCACAATCAGGGAAACGACGAGCTCCAGCAAGAGCAACAGACACTCCAAAACCAGAGCAGTTTGGGACACCGAACATGTGCACAAAACATAGTCACAAGTGAAATGAGGGCTGCTTTATGCATGTGCTGCAGATGATTTTCGTGTGTGAGAGAACAGCAAAATGGGCATAAAATAAAGTAATAGGCCAATGAACAACCCCTGGGCAACAGGACTTCAATCTTTGCTTTCGTGTCCCTATGTCCAAGGGGCCCCCTTATCATATCAACACCAGAGTGCTCCCATTCCCCTGGGAATGACTTTCCCCTTCCCTTGAAAGCACACGTGGCAGATAGTGCCCGGACGGGTGACGTTCACATCCAACTCCCAGACCATGGCCATGGTTTCATGTCAGCCCGAATTGCAAGCTCGCAACACCCCCAGGGACCTTGTATCATCAAAGTGCCTCGACCTCCACACGAGACGCATGCACATGCAGAACAGGACGGCATGGGGAGGACCCTGCCCCACACAGTGCTAGTACAGGCATAGCAGGGACAGTCCAGATGTTCGGATCATCTCTTATCTTGCACTTATAGCTTCCCCATCCAACATCAGCCTGCAATGTCCTAAAAAAATCTGGATCAGCCCTACTTTAAGAAGCAAGAGAGTTGTACCACCACCTCCCCAGTGCTTCCTGCACAACCCAGCAGGCTATTTCATCCGCCATGGGTTTGGGGATGGCCTTGCATAGCTAGCGCTATGCTGAAGCTGACACAGTATTAGCAGCTTTAGTCTCTGCCAGCCTTGACCAGGTTTGAACAGATGATTTCAAGTTGAAAAATAAAGGAACTATCAGTCCTGTAAGTTGAAAAATAAAGGAACTATCAGTCCTGTAAGTCTCTACACAGAACCGATAAGCTGAGGACACAAATTCACGGTTTTAGCTCAAAGTTTCTACCCCACATCTCTTGTCCTCAGGAAGGGTGGAGGTGTATGCGCCACTCGCTGGTCCTCTGGAAGGGGTCTCACACCAAGGCACAACCAGAGGGACTGGGCACCCTGCGCCACCAGGAAGTGAGGCAGGTAAGTGAGGGAGGCAGAGGTAGCAGAACCATGAGACCCTTTCCAGAAAACAAACGCATCCACATAGCAGTAGTACAGCAACCCTGCACCCCTAGCAGACTGCTGCCACTGCAGGACAGCCCTAGCTCCCCACCATGCACCATTAGTATGGGCTAGCTACCAGAGCTGCTGTTTTTTTTTCTCCTGCCCTTGCTGTCTCTAATGGTTTTAGAGCAGGACAACCAACTGGCGCCGCATATACCAATAAACAAGTCACCCAGAATAATCAGCAAATACACAAATGAGGACTGTCTGGGCTGCGAGTGCAACTGGTACAGCTGTGAGCCACGCGAGACGAGGCCAGCAACTAGAAACCAGGACCCCAGGAGGGACCCATTTGGCCAGGCCATGCAGCCAACAGCCTACGCTAGGACCGCAGCTTAATTTGATATCCCCGGTGTTGAGAGGTGTAGGAAAACAGCAAGAGAGATGGGCCTTAGCTGAGGACAGTGGGAAGGACCCTCCACTGCAAGTACCATATTCTCCTCCTTTAATGCTGTAGAGATGTTGTCATAGGGGACCTGCTCGCCTTACAGATAGGCACTAGTTTGAGACAACAGATTTTCACCTAGAGCTCAACAAATGGAAATGAACAGTAACTGGATGATGCCTACAATATTTCACTGTCTATGGCAAGCACGGATAATGTACATAAACAAAATCGCAGAAACACCTTTGTTTCCTCTAACAAACAGGGCACAAATGGAACTTGGTCAAAGCTCAGCTCTTATAATTTATGGTAAGAAGAGGCTGGATGCAGCTGCAGGTAACTAATTAGCTAAAAATCTCATTACCTGTAACATGTTGAGGAGCAGGCTCCGGAATTTGGTTCCTTCCACCATGAAGAGGGCCATTTTGTCACAGAGCTTGGCAGCTGTGGAAGCAAAGCTGCGGTCCGTCACTGCTTTCTGATAGATGGTCTTGACAATCTCACCCAGCATCTCCTCAGAGTTGGTGGAGTTCTGGGCCTCCTCCATGAATGTGGTGAGCTTGGAGTCAACATCGCTGCTGTTGTTCCTCATGCTGTTGAGGATTTCAATTAATTTGTCCATTTTGTTCTTTTGGGGATTGGTGGTTTCCACTGTGACTTCGTCCTGGTCCGTGAAAAGGGAAAGACAAGGCGTCTGTTACACAAGGAAAAAACAGACAGATCAGCCCCTGTTCTTCAAGAGAAAACAAAAGGGGAAGGGAGATTGGGGAGACATATAAACAGACAGAAAAATCAAGGCATCTTCAAGGCACAGTGGTTGGATATATTAGGAGTAAATGCACATGTATTCAAGGGCATGCATTTCCAACATGCAGTCTCATATGCTCAGGTTATTTTTGCTCACTGGAAATGTCCACACAAATGCACTTTCCAGTCTGAAAACAGCATCTTTCTGAGTGCCACAGGGGGCAAATGGAAATTTTATCTCAGAATTCCTTAGAAATCTGAGGCTAATGGTTGTTTCCAGAAAGGATTTCTCCTCCGTCACTTGCATGCAATACTTTTGTTATTGTTGGGTAGTTGGAAGGAAGGGGGAAAGATAAGGGCATTTCAATTCATTATCTAGATAAATGGATATCAGCTTTAAGTAGCTGACTCCAAATATTCAGCACTCAAATTCTAAGCTTGGCATTTAGCTCTTTAATTACTGAGAGACAAATTGTATTTTTTAGACCTCTTTGGTAGGCAGATGAGCTCTGCAGACTGGGATTTGGGCAGCTGGAATCAGCAATTGGGGCGAGTGTCTGTGTGAGGGTTGCCTGTGCACTGGCCCTCTGAAAAGGTCTCCTGCAGGTTTTAGGGAGGGCTTCATGGCCTCCTTGGGCAACTCAACCTGATGGCAACCTCAAACAAGGAGCCGTGTGCAGGTGAGCCCCAGCAGTGCATCAATAGAAGACCTCGTGGAGAAGCACAGACACACTTGAAGGCAAGTGTTGACACAGGGAGATTGGAAGAGAAGCTGGATGTACTCATGGGAAGCCCCCGCAAACCCAGCCATCCCTCATGTGGAAAACAGGCAGAGTCATGAAAAGAAGAAACGCAAAGGTCCTCTAAGGTGTAGTACCTTTTCTTTTAGTCTCCTCCGCAGCCTGTCTTTGGAAGACTGAAGCAAATTGATCTTGGGCCTTTCCCCAATGCGCTCGTGAATACTGTCTTTCCGCTTGGTTTCCGAGTCCTGGATGTACTGCTGAGACTGCTTCTCCACACTCTCCGGGCCCCGGTGGGTCTCTAAAGGAATATGCACTGTGCAGACGGAGGTGTCCTCGATTTTCAAATTTTCAGTCTCTTTGGCGTTTCTGTGCGTTTCTTTGTCATTGGGTGAGTGCTTCTGGTTGTGGTGCCATCTCCGGTTCTGGCTGTAGCCGTGGTGGCCAGTCCGGCCTGAGGAGTGAGGGGCCTGGCCTCCCTGGTAGAGCTTCTGGTGTTCCCGGTTGTGTTTGGTGCCACCTTGCTGATGATCCGTGTGCTGCTGAGATTTGTTTCCTCCGGGAAGTCTCTGCTGTCGCCTGGAAAGACCAAGACAGATGTTAATCGGTGCCAGTCTCTTACCTTTTTGCTGCTTGCATCTGTAGCAGAGGAGCAATGAAGATGAGGAAGACCTGCTCTGAGAGGATAAACAGAGGCACCATTTACTTTCAGAAAAAGCCTTATTCACATAGCGTCGGTAGCATCAGAGCTCTGATACCCTACAGCAAAGGCTGATTAGGACCAGGTCCTTTTGGAGGCAACACTAAAGGAAAAAAAATTCAGGCACAAAGCAGGAAATATGATTTTTCTCCTTGCTAGTGCCCAGCTGAGCCATGTAAGACAGAAATGACTTTAAAAATAATACTCAATGATTTCAGCCCTGCTATATTCCTATGAACTATCCCAGCAGCCCAGTCTCATACCAACTCATATGTTTCCAAACCCTGATGAGCACCTACATCAAATGCAGCCTTGATGAACAGAAGGAACCCAACCCCAGATGCTGGTTACACGAGACTCGAAAAATCATGTTATTGGCTGCATGAGGTGTTGGTGGCAACCAGTGCTAAACCAACCCATCCCACTGGGTCAACACATCTTCTGTCTCCCCATGCAGCCCTTGGTGGGGCAGATGCTGTGGTCCCTCCACCACAGCAAAAGGGACAACTCCCCGCATCCAACATGCCATAAGGTCTCACTCATGCCTCTACATCTCCCTTCAAAAACAGGCCTGTTTCAGCTGATGTTTCCAGGAGGAGTTAGATAACATTACTTAAGTCCCTAGGGAAAGGTCACCCATATTTCAGTGTTAGACGAAGCTTTGAACCCAAGATGGGGAAGCCTGGGCTAATCCCATCTTGTCAACCAGGGAGAGAAGAAATATCAGAAGGGATTTTTTCCCAAAGCCGAAAGCAGTGGCAAACCTGTCCTACAGTTCCGGGGACTGGCACCTCTGTTGTACCCCCAGCATGTGCTGCTGTTAACTAACTGCTCAGTTTGCAATGCAGTTTTAAAAGTGCACCAGGAATTTCCAAGAGAGAAAAAAAGTGCAAGAGCAGAGGTGCCTCCACCAAATGTTCCCCATTGCCCTTTCTCTCTGAGGAACACACGGAGCAGTAGCTTGCTGCTATTCTTACAAAATAAGCTCCGTTTCTAAGAACCCTTCTCCCCACATGTCCCCGTTTCTGGAAATCTCCTGGAGCCCTGTTTGCACAACAGAGCTTGCCAAACGTGGATGGCTCCTGGCAAGGGCCGGGGAAGGAAGAGCTGATGCTGTGTGAAACACAAATGCTGTGGCCATAATTCCCTCCCTCCTTATGTGGTTGCAGATCTCAATGGTTCACTCCCCTAGGGAAAG